TTGAGGACACTTTGGTTCAGGGAGATAAAGCAACTTGTTCAAGGTTACTCAGCTAGTGAGCAGCAGAGGCAGGAGCAAAGCCCAGGTCTCTACACTCTAAATGCTGATTTTTCACAAGTTTCTTCTTACTTTATTCATTTATATAATAAACATTGAACAACTACTCTATGCCAAGCTCTGTGCTTGGACATATAGGGATGAGTAAAACAGACGGAGGTGAAGCACACACGGTAGGTAAGATGAGGCACGGAAGAGTGTGTGAATGGACACGCTACTGCTGTGAGGGAGAGGCGCCGTGAAGGGCAGGAATTAGGGGCTGTGACAGAGGGCAGAGGTGAGAGACGGGCCGCAGAAACCACTTCAGGGACACCATGTGGCCTCGTCTGTGCTTAGAAGGCTGTCAGTAAGCTCAGCATTTATTTTCCAATTTCTACCCTGAGTTAAATCAGAAATATGTCTGGCATTGCTTGAAAAATCAAGTCGAACTATGCTCCTACTAGGAGTTATGGTTCTTTCTATGTCTTAGATGATACTTGATCTAGATGAATCTAGAGTTGCTCTAGCTCGATAAATAGAAAGGGAGGTTGAAGGCGTGTCAGAGCCTCGGAAATATGCATTTCATGTCAAAATAAGCATTGGCATTGTCAGGTGACAAAAGTGTCAGTAAAGCCTGTTTGATAATCATCATTTCTTATGGATATTGCAGAAATTTTTTAGCTGACAGGAACCCCAGAGATCATTCTAGTCCAAACCCCTTACTTTACAGAGCAGGGGCCCAAGCCCCAGAGGGGCAGATGGCTGGCTCAGACTTCAGCACTGCGTTTGTACCCTGCTTGGGGTTCCCACCACCAGTCCCTGCATAAAGCAAGAGGTGTGGCCACTTTCCACCCCTGCGCTCTGTTAGCTCATGTTCACTTGAGTTCCCATCGAAAGAGAGATGGGCTGGAAGTTAGAGCAGAGCCATCCGGATGGGACAAACCCGGGAAAGCTGTTCAAGGCAAATAGTGAATTGTGACTTTCAGAGACTAGGATGAGCCACACAAGCAGTTTCTTTTGTGCTTTGATTTTCTCATTTGCCATACAATGATAGTGTCTGGGGAGGCAGGTGGAGTTGTGGGAAGTGACAGATTGGAAGCAAATCCAAGGGTGCTCATTGCTGGTGTGTGACCTTGGGCTGTCACTTGGCTTTTGTAAGCCGTAGTTTCCTCATCGTAAAACAGGACCACTGTCTACCCAGTAGTGTTCCTATGATAATTAAGTGAGATAATGTGCATAAAGCCCCTGACACAGTGCTCAGTGTATATCAGATTGAGCTGTAAAAACTGCCAGTATCTGACTGTGTACGACCCACAAAAATAGCACTTTCATATGGTTCAACCTAATAACGGAAACTCAGTCAATGTTTTTATTGATGGAGCTGGTGGTGGTGATAAAGTCGTGAAATCAGAATGACCTAATTTCAAATTCCACCTTTCCTTTCGACCACTTGCCTGGCTTTTTTTTCATTCATTTGACAAATGTTTTTTGAAAGTCCATATGCGGCAGGCACTACACCGGGCACAGAGAGGATCTAAGAAAAGGCAGCTGTCTACATGGGTCTTTTGGTCTGAGCCTAAGTTTCCTCATCTGTCACATGGTGACAGTAATGTGCTTCTTACCTGGTAGCTGGGAGGACCAGAGACCAAAGCACTCAGAGCGTTGGGGGCAGTGCCCAGCACTTTTATGTAAAAGTGCTCTGTCAGTGGCAGTCAATTTAGTATTAGAATAAAGCATGGAGTTTCTCAAAGTGCATTTACAGCTATGGCCTTATTTCATCCTCACAGTAATTCCTAATAGGTAGGAAACCTGTAATCAGCCCTTTGTCCAGATGCAGAATGAGTTAAGTACTAGCTCTGGGCAACACTAGTCCTAGAGGAGCTGCGTTTTCCAAATCCCAGCTCTGAGCATTCAGGACTCCATAGGGTTGCTGAGGTGCTGCTCACAGCTGTTTTACAAACGGCTAAGATGCAAGGGGACTCTCCTTCCCGTTTTCCAAATCCCAGCTCTGAGCATTCAGGACTCCATAGGGTTGCTGAGGTGCTGCTCACGGCTGTTTTACAAACGGCTAAGATGCAAGGGGACTCTCCTTCTGAGGTATCTTTTCTAGACAGTAGTGATTATTCAGGAAACTGAAGCATTGTGCTGTAGGGAAGCCCGGGGTGAAGGGTGTCCTTTTGATAGAACTAGCCTTAGAGCTGAACTCGGGGTTCAAGTCCTGCTTGCTGCCCACGCCCTTCCCCCACCCCCCTGCTAACCAGCTGACAGCCTTACACAAGGCCCTCTGACCACCTAAACCCAGGTTCCCACATCTGGGAATAGAAATGTTGATACTCGTTATTTTGAAAGGTTCACATTAGATGACTTATGTGTGTTTTAGTTTGTTTCTGTTGCTTATAACAGAATAGGCAGAACTGGATTATTTGTAAGAAAATGAAATTTATTGCTTGCGGTTTCAGAGGCTGGGAAGTCCAAAGTCCAGGGAACACATCTGGCGAGGGTCTCCTTTGGTGGTGGCTTTGCAGCAATGCAGTGCAGGGATCTCACATGACAGAGAATGGCAGAGCAGAGGGAGAGACTCTCACGTACTGTCCTTTTAAAGCCCTCGGAACCACATCCATGACCACCATTAAACCATCAACTTAATCACCTCTTCAGGGCTCTGCCTTTCAGTAACTGTAATAGGATTTCCCACCCTCTCAACACTGTCACAGTGGGGGACAAGTTTCCAATACCTGGAACTTTGGGGGACACAATTTAAGCTTCAACAAGTTTGGGGGGACATTCAATCCGCAGCAGTTGTAGACTATGCCATGATGCTGGTTTAAGGTAATATTATTCTACTAAAGTTCTTGGGGTTCTTCCAGCCCTAGGGTTTCTGTCTGAAGTACAGGTTGGCCTGAACCATCAGAAACTGCCAGATTTTGTGACAACATTGGTTGCGTCATGACTGTGTTTAAACATCGTGCTAACATAGTGTGTTTGGGTGGCTATGAAACTAACCCAGGTGTTTTCATTTCTCCACTAGTTCCTGCCGCCTTTGCTGGACTGATGTACTTGTGTGTGAGACAAAAGTACTTCGTCGGCTATCTAGGAGAGAGAACTCAGAGGTAGGTAACTGGGACTATTGAAGACCCATGGAGTCATTCATGCTTTTGAGCAGGAGAGTGATAATTCACGACAATGTTCTGACTAGCATTTAAGGATCTGTAGGATCTCCTTGGGTGGGAGGGGGAGGGCTGACTAGGATCCCTCCTCTTGTCTCCTTGAGCTTTGAGGGCTTTGACAATACAGCTGGTGGACTCCAGTAGTTTCCCATTTACCCCCTCCCCCCCGCCACGTGGTGCTGGACTTACAAAGGGTGCTTCAATGCTGTGCACTGCATATTGCTGCAAACACACACCCTCCCCTCCCACCCATCACGTCTGGGGCTGGAGTGACTTTTTATGTCTGGCTTTCCAGGCCTCTTGCAAGTGAAACACTTCATTGTTTGTCTAGAGAAATGAGAACTAAAGCTTGCACCCTGTGCTAAGTTCTCTTGAGTAACAGATCTTCCGGGGACCCGCAGAAAGAATGTTGAGAAAGTAAGATGCAATAAGTTGCAACCTGAGACCACAGATAGAGTCACCGCTGTGTGGTTACAGGCGCTGCCAGACAGAAGCCCAAGGCAGCGCTCTCCTTTTACCACACTGGGACTGGGGAATCCAGATTTTAGGAAAATAAATTATGATCCTTAGAAGAAATGTTCAAGTTATAGTCTGCCGCCATTTCCTTGGAGATTGGGATTCCTAATGTACCAGTAGCGCTTTGAGAGCCAGGGATACATTCTGGGAGGCCCT